CCCAGCTCACTGCCTGCAGGCAGCACCCAATTCATTTTCACTGTTTAATTTGGTCTTTGCTACGCTGTGCAGGCAAGTATGGCACAGATAGATCAGTCGCCCAGATTCTCTCTTTGCAAAGTGACATTGCCTGGCTGCTGGAGTGTTTTACTTGCTATCCTGCTGGAACTACAGCACAGCTGTAAGTAAATAGCAGCTGAAGCATTAGCCCTACTAAACCAAAGAAACAGCCTTTGTCTGGAAATAAGTTGGATATAAAGAATCAAAGTACTGAGCAGATAAAATGCACTTGTCTTCAATCTGTGCAGCACTGAAACCATTTAACAGAAAATGCAAGGAACTGTATTGCTGTGACAAAGACTTTACGTGCAAGGCATGGGCACAACTTTGTGAAACGTTCTGCTATTACTGATACCTGCAAAGTGCTTAGTGAAAAAAAGCACTACAATTGCTCTCACGTGAGCTCCTCCTTGGGAATCTTCCCAAACAGGGATACTCTGCTTTGCTCTCTCCAAGAGAAGTCATTCTCCCCAGCGTGTAGCCTCATTCCCTCAGCAACCCACACTGGACATCCCCCCTTCATTCATGGTTGAGTTCATTTTTCCTCCTTCAAAAGCCAAAGTGTGTGGCTGAGCTACTATCAAATTGACACGTGCTTTGTACATTTTATGTTGGTATTTGCACTCACAAAAAACCATACGGAAATAGAGAAAATACTGCTGCTAAATGCCGTTTTCACAACTGCTCCATTTCAAGATGTCTGCTTGGGAATACCAACTTGATAAATAGTCTGGGTCATTGCTAGTAGTCAACAAATTCAAATGTTTCCTGCAGCTGCTCGCCAGTACTCATCTCAGTCTCACCCATTCTTCAGGAAGGCCAGAATATCTGCTAAGTGGTGCTGATGAAACCTTCCAGGTGACCACTCACTACGTGAGTGCTCTCTGATACAGCTCTTTTATTCTACTGTAAGAGGAGAGATGCCAACACTATTAAAAGATGCCGAAAGATAATCTTTTTATCTTCCATTCAGATGCTCTGTCACCCTGATAGAAATCTCAGTAACTTACCCTGCTTTCACATCCCACTCCTGCAACAATACTTTTCTCCCTGGGGACAGATGCTTAGATCACACCAATATTCAGACAATTAGCAACATCTTGTTATGAAGCAATAACTGATCTGTGCAGCCCATGAGAACAAGTTCAGTAAAGTCACTATCCAGCAAGCACGAAATTTGGGAACACCACAGATGTGAATAAAAACCAGGATGGCCCATGGCCGGGACACGTGAAAGGAAATTGCTGAAGAAACAACTCTATTACCTTCAAGTAAGCAGAGCCTGAAAGCAAGGCAGATAATGAGGAAAAGCACATGAAATTTTTTAAATACACAAAATTCATTCTTCTTAATGTCAGATAACATAGAAAAATTATATTTAAGAAGGACAAGACCATTCCCAAAGTAAAACATGGTTATGCTCAAAATGGGAAACAATCACAGCCGAGGTATGCTTTTACTTTCCTTTACCAGGCTTAAAAGTGCAGTTCATCCTCTACAAACAAGGCAGAGTTGTCCTTCTTTTCTTTCTTGCACAGAGCTACAGATTTATGGGCATCCTCCACAATAAGACCCTACAACAGTCATCCTAAGATAAATCCTGCTTGTGCAAACACTTCTCAAAACAGGCAGAATTTCTGAGTCACACAGGAAAGCACAATGCACTTCTAAAGTTCACCTTTCAGCCGAAGTCCACTGCATTGAAGCTGCATATCCAGGGAAGCCAGGGAGCAAATAACACGATAAACACAAAGGGTTTATCCCAGGAACTGAGTAACAGCTCTGTGACTCACACTGGAATTAAGCTGTGATGCCACACGGAAGCAAAGTTCAGAGAGGGAAATATTTCAGTTGGTTAGGATGGATAGAAGCCTCCTTCCTCTGCAGAACTGAGCACCCAACCAGGGCCAGCAGTTGCTTTTAATCCTCATTATTTCCTTGTCTGCCTCTGGGGAATGCTGGCCTGCTGCAGTTCCCCAAGCCCACCCCACAACCACCATTCCAAGGGACAAACTTTCTCAGCACATCATCTAATTATTTTTGCCAAGACCCTCACATCATTGTCCTTAAAGTAATGCTGCTGTTTGCAATAGCACTCTCAGCCCTGTGTTTTACTTTAAATAAGAACAAGCCACCTGTTGCCAGCCTAGTACTTTTTCCTATTTAAAGTACATTTGTCAGCCAGCCAAAGTTCTGCAAAGTTGCCCATCGGGCAGGTCTCTGCCCCCACAGCCATGCAAGCACTCAATGAATCAGAGTAAGAACAAAAAGCCCAACCACAGCTGCCTGATTTCTCCTGGGTCAATCAGCCGACCCCAATGCCAGCAGTGAGCAGGGGGCTGCAGACCCCATGGAGCAGCTGGGAGGCACTGCCCACCCCCCTCTCTCACAGCCTCACCGGCAGCCAGGCCACAGCACCCTTTTTCCCAGCAGCATTCTCTGGAGGAGGAGTTCACTTCTCATGAAGGTAATGTGTAATTTTTAGTTTTACATTTTTAATGCCTCCCCAGGGAAGGTGTGTGAGGAGGAAGCCTTCCTTGCTCAACAGAGAGAATGAAATTTTCCTGCATCAGTGCCAAGAATAGGCACCCTAAATTCAGTGATCCTAATCTCCAGCCATCCAGCAGCCATTCAGCAGCAGGGTGGGCCCAGCTGATTCAGATTTTCTATTAGCTAGTGACTTTGTGTACTAAAAAAAGTCACCGTACCACCCAATTGTTCCCACCGCTCTCTGCTCCATGAAAGCACAGACATTAGAGGAGCTACCACAACAAGTGCCCTCAGTGCCTCCTCATCATGCCTTGGTAACCAGCACAGCCCTCTCCCCACCAGCCCTCCCCAGTCCCTGCATGCCCCTGAATTTCCAGCACCAGTTTTGCTCTGCTGCCCTGTGGTGCAAGAGGGGAAACACCTCCAAGCTGAGCAGTAGTTCAGGAGCCAGAACCTGAGAACAAACCCAACCCAGAGGCAGACAGATGGCTTGGTGGCAGCTACCCATACACAGCACCTGTCAGTATTCATACAGACTGACTGGGGCCCATAGGCAGGGAATACCATGCAACACTTAAGGAAAGGATAAGGTAACCTCCATAGCTCTTTATTTTAAAGGGCAAGGGAAGATAACGGGATCATTCACTGTACTCAGCAAACTACTGTGCTGGCAAAATATTCAACCTACATTCACTAGTTATTTTATCAACATGAAATTCACATACGAATAATCTGATTAATGTTATTCTACTATTTACACACTAAAATCAATAGCAGAAGTGAACCAATAAAGGATTTGAAGATTACACAAAAAAAAAAAAGCCACTGAAAGCACATGACCAAGGCTAAGTGCAAAGCCAGTAAATTCAATCTCAAAGCACTCCACAAGTTTTGCACTCTCTTATACAACTGCTTTACTCAGGAGCAAAAATAAAGAAAGAAGCTGAGACTGGTTCATTTCAGTTAAACAAGAACCAAGCAGCATGTGTCTCCATGGCTCACACCAACTTTTGTTCCAATTCATATTCCCAACAGCCACAACAGCACTTGGTAAGCCAGGTCTCTCTGGATATTGGCAGCATGGTCTGGACACAAGCAAGTACATTTTTAGTAGAGATGAAGGGAAATGCTTCAGGAGTTCAGATTAGAGCAATCAGAATAATAAAAAGAAAAATGAGCAGAATTGAGATCCAGACATTTACATTTGTTTTTTCTTCTCTGCAGCTAGGAGGACAGACTACCTGCAATTTGGTGTTCTAGTTCAGTACCACCAGCCAAGAGAAAGCTTGCCAGCCATTTCGAACAGGGGAAACACAATACACCTACAACAAAGAGTGACTACTGATTCTGGCATCTCTTACAACCCATCTTAACAAAGAAAAGATTCTAGAAAGTTACAGATTCCCTCCTCTGCTAGCTACCTTTCTAGTGACAAGATCAGCATCCAAAAAGAAACAGTTTTGGAATTTTGACAATGAAGTCTTTTAGTTCATTTGAGAAGAATGGCCTCTGAAATCAGCAGTGGAAACACGAAGGAGTAGCTTTGCTTGAAAAAGCAAAAACACAGATTCCTCAGAGAGAGGGAGGGAAACATACATAGCCTATTTAATTAATATAGAGAGGTTCCTTTTTCTAAATGCTTCACTAATACAAAATCATGCCCTGAGAAGGAACATGATTTATTTTTACTGTTATATTAGTAAAACAAACATAAAAGTATTCAAAGAAGTCTGCACTATAAATTGCAAACGTGATAAGCTATGTTGACAATTGTTTAGTCTCCTATAGCAAAGTAAGGAGGGACCTTATTCAATACTCAAAACAGTTTCAATGGAATTTTGAAAAGAAGCAATGAGATTGCCAAATGTTTTGTTCAAATAATCGGATTTGGATTAAAAAAATAAAAATTAATAGTTTCTTACCCAGAAGTTAATAACACACCTGGAATATTAACTAATCAAGTAAACATTTGTAAAATTTTCATCAGTTCTTTTCATCTAGGGGTAAGCAATTAAGTTCTTTATATAGGTAGATGTATTTACATGTAGCATACATATTTTCAATGTGTTTTAACTGTGTTAAAAAAAAAAATCAGTGGAAAAGTGGAGGCTTTGTCAAGCGGGACAAGAACAACAAGCTGACCCACTTAGGAAGGCATACAAACAAGGCAAGTTTGCAGGAAGAACACAAGAGCTAGACCATCAAAAGGGTCAATGAAAAAACAGTATCAAATTACTTGGTGCTGTACTGACCTAAATAAACTTGTCAGTCTTGAGGAATCATCTCCAACTCTCTGCAAACAGGAAATACATAATACACTAGGTATATAAATGTAAGAAAATGGTATAATCTCGACTATAACAATGAAAATTCCACAGCACATCAATGTACGTTCTCAGACAGAATAAAGATTCCCCTCTCCAATGAATAGCATTGAAAGGACAGCTTACCCTCTCCACTTGTCCTTCCTTGTGCTTTTGTTTGTACACTTTCAGCTTTGGAAGGAAAGTCTCTGCGTAGTTCTTGTCTTCTGTGCCTTGGAGCAGCACCCCATGGAATGCCAGCCTGCAGGTATTGGCATGAATATCCGTATCCAGCTTGGAGCCGATCACAAGGCACAGCTTAGGGCAAGTGACAGGTTTTTCAAACTCTAGCAAAGCCCACTGTTGTTTTGGCAGCTGGACTTCTGATTGGCCATTTTCTTTATTCTCCTCTGAAGGCTTTGAGTCCTTGGACAAATACTCCTCTTGATAAAGATAGTCTCTATCAAAATCAAAAGCATTTTCTTGAATTTCTTCATCGAAGTCAGCAGGAGCCGGACTGAAAAACATCACTCTTCCCATGACTGTTTCATGACCGACTGTGATATGAAACTTAGCTTTTGTCTGAAGCGCTCCTCGAAAATACTGGATTTTCTTCAGGGAAATTACTGCAGCATGGATGGTGTGCAGTGATTCTGGGGTACAGATCAGGCCTCGTTCCAGTAGTTTGGGATCAAACTGGGTCACACAGATACCTACTCTGTCACCCTGCATGGCGTATGTCACAGGAGTATGGAACATCTGCATAGACTTGACTTTCTTTGTCACCTGTCAATGAAAGAGCAAGAAAGAAAATGAAATAGAATTGCACACGAGCACATGTCAAACATATAGCCACACGTCACACCGTTCTCACCTCTAATGAGATTGCCCTTCTGGAAGAATCCAGAATTCAAAACATAGAAAGTGAACAGACTGAAAATATGCCTCTATCGATCATTCAAAAATACTAAGAATTTGAGCCTCTTACCGTATTTTATGAGTGTTTCTGCCCATCAAACTCTAGAATTATCATGGCTGCAATTACGTTGACATTTGCTCCATCTCTGCTGCCACACCTACACACTATCTACTCTCACCACAGAATAGCTTACTTAATGTATTCTCCCCTTAATCATCTACACCAGCAAAAACATAGCAGTACAGTGTCTAGCCACACATTGGCCTCGCTGCTTTCTCATTCCTGCCACAAAATCCTTTTCAGTCATTTTTTTTTTTTGACTTGGTTAAAAACCATCAAGCGCTCAGGAAAAAGTTATTTTCCTCAGTGTCTGTACAACACTGAGCACCATTACATGTTGTAAAGCATCACATCAAAATAATTAGTAATACAAAAATCTAAGACTGCATAGCCCATTCAATTCTAGACATTGCAAAAAAGAAAAAAGGAAGAGTTCTCCTGCAAATATCTGTGTGTTTATAAATCAGGTTTGCACCACCTGCCACTAAAATCTGGGGTTCCACCTGTGATGATTCTTCATATGAAAAGTACAGTATTGTCCACTGATTGAAATTATTAAAATATCTGTCTTTACTAAAATCTAATAAGCTTGCTATTCTGTTCCTTATTTAAAGGAGTTCTTCAACAAAAGAATGATCATCAGATTTTCAAGATCAGTCTTGGCTCTAGTCAATCAGACCGAGGCAATTTAGTTTAACAAGGCTTCATTTTGGCTTCTCTTTCACTTCTGTAAAGCACTCTTCAAGAATTTCTCTGGTCTGCATGAAACCAAATGTTTTTCTTCTGATAATTCACCTATGTTGCCACCTGTTGCATTTCTACAAATGGATGTTGGATAGGTAACCATTCTGCCTAAAGTTCCTACATTAGATAGCAAGTTTTCAATACTGAAATGGTATTTTTGGCAATAAAAAAAATACTTTTCTCCTAAATAAATATCAAGTACTTGGACAAGAGCCTTCAGCACAGAAAAATTACACACATCATCTGTGAAAGGCTGAAACCTCAAAAATCAGATCCAAGCACTGAACCCTCCATGGGAATGCTCTGTTCCAGAGATCATTTCTGTAGTGTTTTTTGTCAATATGCAATAGATTTTACTGTGAACATGCACAGAACAGAATTAGTAGCAGATCTCCACTCTCAGTATCATTTTCTTTTCTGCTCTCTTCCCTTTTGACAGCTGTGGAATTGGTACTAAGAAAAGCTTTACGCCAAATGCTACTGTGCAATTCTCAGCATTCAAGCCATTATTATGTCTTACTCAGCTGTAACTATTCTCAAATCAGTCCTCAACCACTGCATGCCCCTTAGCAATCCATCTTTTAATCCTTGCACATTGCTTTATTTTGTATTCCTGAAAGTCAGAGTCCAAAATAGACGAGCAGCAATGAAAAGAATTTCAAATTAATGATTTAAGGATAAAACTCGGCAGATCTGGGCTTCATTCTCGGTATGCCGCACAACTTTGAGGACCTCATTTAGTTTTGACTACTCAGAACAGTCTAGAAAAGTTAGCCTTATTAACCATAGAATTATTCACTATCTGGATAATACTGAAGATCTCCACATCTTTCTCTTGGATGCAGTGTCTCAGTAGAAATGGTTTTTCACCTTTTCTTTTTTCTACAAAGTCTGCCAACCAAATATGAAGGGCACAAACATTTGACTTCCCAACATCACCAAAATAAGCAACATGAAGGAAAGAACTGTAGAACAGAAGGAAGAACAAGAGTAATCGGGGAACTAATTGCAGGAACTTAGATCAAAGAAGAGTAGACGAAAAGTTTATTGGCTGAACTAAAATATAGCTGGAATACAAAAGCTCTCCAAAGAAGCCAGGATAAACTGGTCATCAGCAATGTACAGAAAGTTTGGTTTGCTTTTTAAAATAATCTAGCAGATAGACAGCTTCTGAAAACACTGGTAATACCAGAAATAACTGTTAAGGATCTATTTAGAAAAAAAGGATATTGTGAATATATATTTCAAAAAAATAAGCAAGTCCAACAATACTGAAATTTCCATATGAAAAAACACCAGATCAAACAATATGGAAAGATCGTGTTGTATGTGGTAATGCTGATGATTAAACTTTCCATCTTCAACAACCATGGACAGAGTGAATAAACAATAAAACAACACGAGCTACAGAAGCTTCTATCCATCCAAAAGGAACTGAAAAACCACAGATCTACAGGGTTGTCTAGCTTGAATGTGAACAGAAAGATTCTTCTTCATTGTGAACACTCTGGTTTATAATACTACTTTTTAGAAACATTTCAACCCTTTGGTGAGTAGCTAAGTTAAAATGTTATAGAAAACATTTGTTGGTCTCTGAAGCAACCTTTTGTATGTCCATAATATCTTTCATTAATTTCTAATAACATGATTAACAACACCTGTGTTTAAAAACAACCCACAGATGTACTCAGGATACATCTTATTTATATACTCAGGATAAACCTTAGCTTTAAATTCAAAGAAGAGCAGGCATCTATGAAACATTCCTCAAGCATGTTATGCCTACACGCTTCCTTACATTAATGCAAATTATTAGGATAGATGCGTTTGATGTGCAACTTTAAATTAACAACCACAATTAATAAGTAACCTTAGAATATTCATTTCATATGATTAAGCCTTCACAGAAAGTTGCAATTCTCAGCTATGGCATAGAAAGGTGGGTCGTATCAGAACCAGCTGCCTTCTTCCATGTGTCTCTGTTGAACCACATTAAAAGGAGAATAAATATCTTGAATATTATTTCCCATGACAAACACCTGCTGCCATTCCTACACACAGTGGACTACAATACAGGAGCATTTTCCAGAGCTCTATAAAACTTCAGCAGTGTGGTTCCCCTGAACACATTTGCAGATAGTCCACTTAACACAGACTCCAACACAAGACCAAGAAAAGTTTTGGATCCTGACTAATTCTTTCAGAAAAAGGCACCTTAAATAAAAATCACTGAGAATATTCAGAAGAATGTAATGCAAAGCTTCTCCAATCCCAAACTGATGATCTGTACTCTCCCAACACAGTAAGCATGCTCCCAGCCCTTGCTAGACTCACCCAGAACTTAAGCACATCATTTCTTTGTACCTGGGTCCAGTTTCCAGGCACGTCTGGCCATCCTCTGACCCACCAGGAGACAAGTACTGCATTATCGAACCCAGAGAAAATCAGCACATTGTGTTGACCTATGCCTACTCTCTTGCAAACTGAGTAATCAGCCCATTAATGTTTGTTTTTAAAAGACTCAGTTTTTCCTTTATATTCAGCATCTAACATTCCTATACACATTAGAGGCTGAAAGAATGGTAGGAACTGTTCTTATTCCTTTATTTCTTACTCACTTTCAATACTAGAATCAACTGTGAAAGGGCCATACAGCACAGTCTAAGTTTCAAGAGTATAATGCATGAAGGAATTAGAATCTAGAGCTAAACAAGGTGATTTCTGGGACAGGTTAGCACACACAAGAACTGATAAGGCATTGCATCTCCTCCAAAAGGTCAGACAGAAGCAGCAGCAAAGTAAATCGCTGAGTTGATCTGCAACCACTGGATCAAATCACAGCAGCTCTACATCACCAACTTTGTGTTTTCTAAGCACATCATGAACGATATCGAGCATAACTCCACAGTGATAGACCTTACTGGACACAAACAGTGTAGGTAAACATGGCATCGATTACATCTCATCACTTAAATCAAAAGCCACGTGTAGAAATCTTGTATTTGGCAAATTTAGTTTACCTTTAATTTTTGTTGTTATTTTAAATTTGTATAATCACTTTAACGTTCTTAAAACACCACGTAAAGGACTATAAAAAGGGTGAGAGAAAAGAAGCTCATGTGTTCAAATACAGTTAAAAAAAAAAAGCAAAACAGAATGACTACCCAAAGTTCATCCTTTGAGATAAACAAACACATTCAACGTAAAAGTACTTCACAGTACTCGAAGACAAAAGCAAAAGCCCACTAAGATTTTCAGAGCGGTTCAGTACACTAATAGAAAACAAGATACAGAAAAAGTCCACTAATGACTCTTCTGCAATATATCAGAGCTTCTTTTCCTTTATTTATCCAACTTGCATTAAGTTATCAGCCATACGCCATTGCTCGTAGCTTCTTCAGATAAGAACCTAGTCATCCTGCTGCCTCCCAGTGCTGCAAGTGCATCTTTCTGATACGAAAGATACAGCAATCCACACTTCCTTGAAATACTGATGAGAAAGTGCAAAGTTGCAACAATTAGCATTAATATTCTAGTAGAAAAAAGACAGGATTAAAAAGCAGCGTTTATAAAAGGAGTATTATGTCCATATCACAAAAAGGGACCCCACCTCAAGAGCAGAGACCTCCAACTTGGTGCTATATAAATGAAGGATGACCATCCACAAGCAGAGTCCTACAGATGGGTGTGCAGTGTTCTATGTAAGGCAAACCACTCCTGCTTGAGAAGCACCAAAGAGTCCCTGGGCTGTGAGTACAGGACAGCAACAACAAGCATTCAAAAAGATCACAATCCAAGGCCCTTGCACTACTCCACGCACATCCTCCACCCAAATCAATGTTTTAAAAAACGATGATATATTTTCTTAATGTTCTGAGTCTTCGGGGTTCATGTCAAACTAATGAGCATCAAGAGTTCCATGGATCTTCTGCCAGTACTTCAGAAAAACATAAGACAGGTATTGAGAGTTGTCAGTAGCACATCACTGAAGAACAATAACAGACACTGCCTCATGATCAAGCTGTGGAAAGTCATTTCTTCCAAGTCAACATCCCCATGGCAG